TGCCGTCCACCATGAAGTCCACGCTGTAGACCTCCAGTGGCTTGGCGTCCTGTGGGGACAGCCCGGTCACCGGCGCTGCCACCGGTCCCCAGGACCTTCAGGTGTCCCCAGAACCTTCAGGTGTCACCCAGGTCCTTCAGGTGTCCCCAGGACCTTCAGGTGTCACCCAGGTCCTTCAGGTGTCCCCAGGTCCCTCAGGTGTCACCCAAAACCTTCAGGTGTCCCCAGGACCTTAAGGTGTCCCCAGGACCTTCAGGTGTCCCCAGAACCTTCAGGTGTCCCCAGGACCTTCAGGTGTCACCCAAAACCTTCAGGTGTCACCCAAAACCTTTAGGTGTCACCCAGGACCTTCAGGTATCCCCAGAACCTTCAGGTGTCACCCAAAACCTTCAGGTGTCCCCAGGACTTTCAGGTGTCCCCAGGTCCCTCAGGTGTCTCCTTTGGGGGTTTGGTGGCCCCGAGGACGGTTTGGTGGCCCCATGGTGGGTTTGGTGGCCCCAGGGACAGTTTGGTGGCCCCAGGGACAGTTTGGTAGCCCCATGGTGGGTTTGGTGGCCCCATGGTGGGTTTGGTGGCCCCATGGTGGGTTTGGTGGCCCCACGGACAGTTTGGTGGCCCCACGGACAGTTTGGTGGCCCCATGGTGGGTTTGATGACCCCGAGGGCGGTTTGGTGGCCCCATGGTGGGTTTGGTGGCCCCACGGACAGTTTGGTGGCCCCATGGTGGGTTTGGTGGCCCCATGGTGGGTTTGGTGGCCCCATGGTGGGTTTGATGACCCCGAGGGCGGTTTGGTGGCCCCATGGTGGGTTTGGTGGCCCCACGGACAGTTTGGTGGCCACACGGACAGTTTGGTGGCCCCATGGTGGGTTTGGTGGCCCCATGGACAGTTTGGTGGCCCCGAGGATGGTTTGGTGGCCCCATGGTGGGTTTGGTGACCCCGAGGACAGTTTGGTAGCCCCATGGTGGGTTTGGTGACCCCACGGACAGTTTGGTGGCCCCATGGTGGGTTTGGTGGCCCCACGGACAGTTTGGTGGCCCCGCGGCTGACCCGGCTGACGAGGGACAGGGTCTTGCTCTCCTCCTGGTAGCGCAGCAGCGAGATGCTCTTCATCAGGTCGGCGGCCAGGATGAAGCTCTTGACGCTGATCATCTGGTGGATGTAGAGCTGCGTGTCGATGAAGGCCATGCCCGTCAGCTCGTTGTCCTT